AAATGCATAATGAAGTTCTGTGCTCTTGCTCCTAACGAATAGGAAACGCAGTATACCAGAATCAATCAAGGGAACGTGAGAGGGAGGACCAAAAATTACCACTGCGGAAGAAGAGAGAGGACATTTCAAGCATATAGTGCGACTAAGATCTCGCTCTCCTTTCACGGGGAAGTTTCAATAACGTGAAGGACTTCCTGTTAGAAACTTTTGATTTGGAACGAATCAAGTAGAACATACTTAGAAAATTGTGACATCAAACAATTTTTGAACTTGAAGGATCACTGGATCACCAACAAACTGGAAAATCTGGCGAGCGAATTGATGGAAAACGATTGTTGTTCCAGAAGGTCAGTGTTATCCTTCTAACAGACTCTCCGTAATAGTAGATTATACCACGAGTCAATAATGATAGCTATTATTCCCGAGGATTATTACGAACTGAGCCGCGTTAGCGACGAGGGAGTAACATTCCGAGGGAATAATAGCCATTATTGCGAGTAGTATACTCTACTTTATTTACGACAAATTAATTTATTTGAGATTTTCAATGAACAAATTTCATCCGTCTCATAATTTTCAATACAAATCCACAAGCACTACACGTTTGACACTAACACTTTTGTGAAATAATGACCATTAATCCCGCTACTCGTCATTAATCCCTGAAGGAATAACATATGTCATTATACTGCCAAAATCACAAATATAATACGCACATTATACATTAGTCGTAAATAAAAATTCTTACGTGCTACGACAAGAACAGGTGGCCATTTTTCTAGTTCCCGTCACGTCAGTCCATGCATGGGAAAACGCTGAGGGCAGATTTGGATGAACATGAAGGCGTTCTTCATTAGAGATGAGCACAACGAGATAATCACAGACCCCGAAGACCAGAAAGTCCACTAGTCAAAGTGCTATTGGTTGACATGTATTCATAGACATTTCACTTTATCAACGAACGATTTGAAATGTTTCAAGTATCCAATTTTGCTAACATATAATCATGAAATCGTTAAAAGATTAATAAAAGATAATTAAAACCCTTTCAGTACGGCTGACCGATATATCTGCCACATACAAATTTGACGCACAGACAGCTGTCCAATATATGTGACATCGAGTTATTCATGTTCCATGGACTAATATCATATATTTCAGACAAATTTGAAAAATCAATTTGCCGTACAGACGACTGACCGGATAATCAGCCATACATATCCGTGCGACGCCAGGAACGACCGAAATATACGACAGTCGTCGGGGTGGCAAGTTCAGTGAGTACCCTACGTTACTAATAGCTACAGTGGCGTAGCTATGGATGAGCGGGGGTGCGCGAAGCGCTGGGGCCCCGGAACACGGGGGGCCCCTTTCTTAAAATCAAAAAAAAAATCTGCAAAAATCCCTGAATGAAGCTTAGTCCATATACTTGCGAATCGCGAATTGTGGAAAGCGAATAATGATTCTGTTGGTTGATTTGGCTTCCCACCGCCTGACATTTAAAATCGACTAATAGGATCATTATTCGCTTTCCGCGATGCGCGATTCGCAAGTATATGAACTAAGCTTATTGCGTTTCCGTTTTGCATTCCATGCCATCTTCTCGGCTGTCGGTCGGCAATACGTCACGCGACCGCGTAGGTCCGAAAGCGCCCTACACCCAACGGCGCATGACCGCATTGTACAAACCTTAGAGCAGGTAAAGCCAAGTTTTTGGCAGGTGTTTGGCACATGCCAAAATACCTGGAAAAACGGCTTCATTTTTCAAATCCAGGTTACTACTCTCCTTTACCTCTACCTGCTCTAAGGTACACACGGTCGAGCAACTTCCATTTTGTTTCTGAAATCGACGTAACGTATTTGATTAAGGTATTATATTATTTAAGTCATGTACACGTCAAACTTCCTGGGTCCTTATTCTTGGAAACGGGGAGCGGCGTTCCCAGGAGAACGAGAGTTCCGTCTTTTGCTACTTATACTATCAGTAGCATATCATTGAGAAATATGGAACACTCTCTCCTGAGAACGCTGCTCTAATAAGGTCCCTTGAGCGCCGGCTTCATAAAACCAAGTCGGACAATTTCTTTCACATTTTCAACCTGAGCGTGCGAACATTTTCGCGCCGGCTCTTCGTGAAGTTGTCGTTCTGACGTCCCTAAGGAAGGTGATGGTGATACATGTATACAGTCCGTTATTTTGAATCTGATACTCCAAAGGAATGTGAGGTGGCTCCCTACGTCAGAGCGCCAATGACCACCTGACGTCAGACCGCCAATGACCACCTGACGTCAGACCTGTTGTTGCCATATGCTTCAGCCCCGCGTTCCTCAGTCCTCATACGGAAAGTGTCAGATTAAAAACGACGGACAATTCATGTTTTCTATATTACATTAACGACATCATATCAAATTTGTTGGACCAAAAACACTTGACTTTGGGGAAGGTCTGACGCACCCAACCTGATGCTATACAAAATTATTTTTTTATTTTTTTTTTGGTGGGGGGGGGGGGCCTATCAAAAGGTTTGCGCTCGGGCCCATGAGGACCTTGCTACGCCACTGTAGTTAGTATCATTCAAAATGTCGGTTGAGGAGCAGTCAGAACCTTCAAAAAAGCGGGTTAGAGTGCAAAATGATTACAATAATAGTTATTGCGGATTGGATCAACGTGAGGTACTCCATATTAATGCATTGCTCAAAAACAATGCAGGCAGATATATATGACACCCGTTTATCCGGCATGCAAAAAACTGCCGTCCACACGCCAAAACAAGTGAAAATACTGCCGTCCTGAAAGGGTTAAAAGAAACATAGATTGTTTTGTTATGCTGGAATACAGACTCTGTGGTATAAGTTAAGTTTGGATTATAAAAGGAAAAAAAATGATCAGAAATGTCATTGGATAATGCGTACCGTGCAAGAAATAGAAAGTAAATAGAGTATTTATTGCCAGGAAAGCAAATTTATACGTAATGTATTCAGTTCTGGGCGGAGTTCCCGGAGAGGAAGTAAGAGAGACCTTTCATCCCTTGTATACAACAGGGATCAGCCGCCATATACAAGTTATCCGTAGAAAGGCTCAATAAAGAAGGGGTAGAAAATAAATCAGTGTGCGGACGAACACACCTAGGAATGCGATTATCCCAAGAATGCCTCTTTCCATTGAAATCACCGTTATTCCTCAAGGAACCACCCGACGGGGGAAAAGTATCTGTCAGTTATTTTGATAATGGAACTGAAAAACTTTTTATATCCTACTGAACTATTAAAACCATATAATACCTTGGTTACGATAATCATAAACAGGGTCTTAACTCCCAAGGGAATTAAGGATTTTCATAACTCCCAAGGGAGTTAAGGAAGGGAGTTAAGGATATCATAACTCCCAAGGGAGTTAAGAATTTCCATAACTCCCGCTTTTACCTTGAATAGGTAACGCTTTGACAAAAAATAGAATTTTGATTTATGGCTTATTCCTTTATAAAAATAGACAGAATACAGTGAATTCAGTAGGATATAAAATTATCTATGTACCACGGGAATTATCAGGAGTTAATACCCACGGGCAATTGGTGTCCCTCGGGCCGGAGGCCCTCGGGACACAAACGTTGCCCTGGGGTATTAACACCTGCATAATTCCCTTGATACATAAATAACTATTATTTTTAACCATTATGTAATGTTGACATAACAGACTTTTGAATAATTTGAAAATGTCATTTCACTGTCTTTTTATCTCCCTGATCCACTTCCCGTTTTGGAAGACCCCAACAAAGATGGTACGACGAGATAAAGAAGATTGCAGGCTTAAATTGGTACCGAGTTGCGCAAAACCGAAGACAATGAACAAATTTAAAAGAGGCCTATATCCTAAGGATGGGCTGAAAATGGGAATAACTGAATAAAAATCCTAAATTTTCTCGCCCTGTTTCACTATACCTACGTAAACGTTTCCGCTACGAAACCAAAAATCCGTCTCTGGAAAAATTGCATTCGCCGTGGAAGGTCGATGTTTTTTTTTTTTTGGCCTAGGGGTGGCTGTGGAGTGGGTGGGTTTATAAAAAACAAAAACCGCGAAAGAAAGTCGGCGTCGCGACGCGCACCGGTTTTAATCCATGCGCGGTCGTTTTGTATCTTTTTTGTCATTATCCGGTGAAAAGTGCTGAAAAACGCGTTCCGCCTGCCTGTGTGCCTACTTCAAATATTTTTCGAGCACTCGAAATCGCGATATGCCTTCACGCTGAAATGACCCGTTTTCAGGAACGGGCCTGGGTAACTTCTCTCTTTCTTTTTTGTTTGTTTGTTTGTTTGTTTGTTATTCGTTTTTTGCCTGTATTGTCAGGTTACACTGGAGTTGCTGACTATTGTTTATTTTTCCTATTTTTCAGGAATATACCAAGAAATGTTTGCGTTAGGCAAGCTTTATATTTTTCAACGTAGCTCAGAGTTGTTTTAATAAAGTTGAGTAAAAACTTTGGAACAACATCGGAATAAAACTTTTGGATTTAGACATCTATAGCATTAGGATAAAGGAACAGGAAAAAAATTTCTTTTCCATAGATATAATGCACTCCCAAGAACAAACATCCTTGTTTGAATACATTCTATGATTGCTTGGTTGTGAAAAGAAGGATTATGTTCCTTTTGTCATACTGTCAGACTAAAAAAAACTAGCATTTAGAATCTGCCATAAACTTGCTTGATTGATAAAAAGCCTCCTCAAACTCTCCGCCTTTTACAAGACTTGAGGTATGGGAATGGCTGGAAGGGATTGGCAGAACCTGGAAAGAAGCACAAGAGGCCAAACCAATATTGTGTCATTCACCACATCCATAGATACTTTGACTATTGTGCAACACCTTCTTAACAATCACATTCTTTTGCAGTTTGCTCCGTTAAACCTACCCTGAGTTTACTAAATAGCTACTCCAAGACACCAGCTTCTTCTCAAAATCCAAATCAGAACAGTTTGTTCCTTCATAATTGACAAATTGTTCTTACCTGTTGCATTTTTTCGAAATCCAAATATGGCCTTTGCAGATGCGAATGTTTGCCGTGCTTAGATCTTTTTCTTGGCGAGACTTCGTAATGTACTAGTTTAGGAGGAGTGAGACTCCCTTTGAGGGCTCCCACAATCCTTCTGCCCGGTTTCACAGCCTCGATTGGCGGGGAGGTTCGGAATCTCACTGGGGTTGCCCTACTAGCTAATAGATTATGGACCTGAAACGATTATTTTTTTAATAAACGATGATGCAGTTGAGTAGCCATTACCTCATCATCAGAAGATCCGGAATGTTCTATCACATGACCATCTTCACCATAACTTCTCAGATATGGCGAACATGAAGATGGCGGACTCAGGTTACTATAGTGTGACATGTTTTCTTCGTTTTCTGGCCTATATCTAATCAATTTGATTTAATATTTACAATGAACAGCAAAATAATTAAGTAGGTACCTATTATAATCCCCAATTTGCGACCATTTTCTTTTTTCAGGCAGGCATACAGAAGCCGCCCTCAGGGGCATAGGGGTGGTTCGTTCGCATTTTGGATTGCTATTTATCACTTCCAGTTCTTCTTCTGAAGAATGAGGGTCGTGCGGATCCGGCGCTGGGCTTTCCATGGAGCAACCCGTGTCTGCAGGGGAAACGCTGCACATCCTCTCTGAAACAACTAATAGAAAAAACATACATGAGTTAAAGAAATAAACCAGTTGTGTGGGACGTTTAAGTAGGTACCTATCAAAACGAACACGTAAATCAAATTTCATTATTTGTTTTTTTGGCTTGCACTGCCCACGGTCTTATTAGTATTAGTCTGTTTACGCTGGGGTTCAGGGACACTGTAAAAATTGTTTTCTATGGTTTCAAGTTCAGTTTTTGATGGTGATTAATATGTAAGTCGGGTTTTTAGTTATAAAAATAAACATTACTTTATGGGCCGCGGATCATAGATTGATTGAGATTGATTGTATAATGGGTTTTGTGAGGGGAATAATGATATAGGAGCTAGTTATTCGCAGTGGCGGCTCGTGACTATTTCAAGTGAGGAGGCTAAAAGATTTTAAAGATTTTCAGTGATTATGAGTAGATCTTACGAGTTTTTCTCGGATTTTGACCAACTTGTATACAAATTACCAACTAATTTAGGGGAGCCTAAACGATAAATATTCCATGGGAATTGTGCGAAAATTTTTGTTAATTCCATAGAAATTCCTCAAAATTTCACTAGAAGATTTTATGGAAATCCTCGAAATTCCATTCAAATGACAAATTTGAATGGAAAAACAGAAAGTCCTAGAAATTTTATCATAAGATTTCATAATACTTTTCCGAATTCCACCATAAAATTCAATGAAATTTTTGTACAAAAATTCCTCGGAATTACAGTAGAAGATTTCATGGAAATTTCGACAGAAATTACTCAGAATTTCACTAAAATTTAATTCAAGTTTTCGGAATTCCGCCGAAATTTCTGTTTAATTCCGAGGGAATTTTTCGGTTTCGATATAATTTCACAGGAATTCTACAATAAGATTTTAAGGAATTCCATGTAGGTGTAATTCGACGAGAATTCCTTGGAATTTGTCCAACATCGAACACAATCTTCCAAAGTCCCTATAAATTCCCCAAGTTTTCAACAAAGAATTCCAAGGTGGATTTGCCTCTTGGAAAATACAGTCTCGCACTTTCCAAGTTTTCCTGGAAAACTAATTTGGGAAAAACCTCTCGAAAATTTCATCAAAGTTCTTTGGAATTCTATTAAAATTTTAAGTTATTCCATGGGAATTCCGCGAAAATTTTAAGTAATTCCATAGACATAAATACCTTAACATTTCATTAGAAGATTTTATGGAATTCTTGGACAAATTTTTTTCGGAATTACAGTATAGGATTTCATGAAATTCCTCGGAATTCCACTAAGATTTCAATTTCAAAATTCCATATTTTTTTTTTAACTTTACTAAAATTCCTCAAAATTTTACCACTGAAATATCTTGGAATTCCACAAAATTTTCATAAAATTCTATGGAATTTCATTGATATTTCATGTAATTACTTAAAAATTTCTCGGAATTCACTAAAATTTTATGAAAATATCCACGTTCATAAAATAACCGAAAATTTCTCGAAAGTCCAATGAAACTTCAAGGAATTTTCAAAATTTAATTTATTTTCATAAGAATTTTTCGGAATTTCACTGAAATTCTTTTTCTATAGCCAGGAATTTCTGGGAATATTAATGAAGTTTCAAGTAATTTCCTAAAAATTCATCGAAATATATTGAAATTTCATGGTAATTTTTCGGAATACCGAAATTCCATGTTTTTAGCTGGAAATTCCTCGGCACTACTAAAATTCAATAAAAACTGGAATTTCATGTTGAGAATTTAGGTGTAATATCATGTACCTAATTGTTTAAAATTCCTCCATGTAATTCATTTAGGATTTCGTATAATTCGATCGGAATTTCACTGAAATTTCAAGTAATTCGAGAGGAATTAAAATTTAATGTGAATTCTATGGAATTCAGAATAACATAATTATTCTACCGAAATTCCACTAAATTATGGAATTCTGAGATTTTAACAGATTTTTGGAGATTCCAAAGGATATTTGGGAATTTTAAAGGAAATATTTTTCAGAAATGTCAATGATTGGGTTTAAAATAACCTATAAATCGAGATTTGATAAAAACATATGGCAACGCTGCTCACAAACGTCAAAAAATTAAAATATCAAAGTAGGCCTTGTTTTTTTTGCAAGTCGATATAAAATGGCGTCTTTTTGTTTCGAAGATTACGATCCGAAGGGCCGAAGTATTAAAATCAGTTAACAATGAACGGGTTCGTATAACTCCGGCCCTTCGGGCTCGTATAACCTCGGATCTTCGGGCTCATGATTAAAATAACTTTGGCCTGTCGGGCTCGTATAACTCCGGCCCTGTGGGTTTGCATGATTCCGGCCCTTCGGACTCGTACAACCTCGGCCCTTTGAGCTCATAATTGAGATAACCTCAGCCTTCTAGAATCGAGATTCGAAAAAAAACATATGGCAACACTGCTCATGATACAACAAACGTCAAAAAATTGAAATTTCAAACCTTGGGTTTTTTGACAATCGATACAAAATGACGTCATTTCGAAACAAAAAGTTGTTTCAAAGATTACGGCCCGAAGGGCCGGAGTATTAAAATCAGTTAACAATAAACGGGTTCGTTCGGATAAAACTTTTGTCGCACGACACTTTGGCAATATCGACAAATGTCACCTGTCAAATTTGACACATGTTCGACTTTTTTCTCGCTCTACTATAAAAGCTACAAAAATCAAACCCTGGTACAAGACAGTTTCACGACGCCAACTATCGGTTTGTGTCAAAAAAAAATTGACAGCTGTCAACGTCAAAAAAGTTTTTTTTATTTTGCGAATTTCGAGAAAAAAAGTGGTAGAAAACGATCCCCGGACCCCAAAAACCCTAAATAAAAATTTCAAAAAAAAAAACAACGAAAATGACATTCCAAAAACTAAAGCTTTTCTCACTTACTTCGTTAAAACACTGGAAATTTTTGGTGGAAAATAAAGAAAACCCAAAGTCTCGTACTTTAAATCAGTTTTCCCGACTGAAAAGCCCCGGAAAAATGGAAATTCGAAGAAAAACTGAATAAAAATGTAAACACGTCAATTGAAAATGGCCGACTGTCAAAAATGCTTCTTTGATTGAATTTAGCCACAAGCGATGTTGCCACATCAAAAGCATTTTAAATGGGATTTTCCTAAATATGGTATTTAAAACTAGAAATTTTTACTAAAAAATGAAGAAAAGTTAAATCGCTTTTTTTCATGAAAAAACTTCGGAAAAAACGAAAAATTCGGGAAAAAACTGGCAAAAAATCACAAGGCGTCAATTCAAAATGGCCAACTAAAAGCAACGTTGCCACATCTCATTTCGGAAAAATAACATTTTAAAAGAGTGTTTTGTTTAAAATTCAATTTAATAATTAATTAATAATAAAATTAATAAATCAATGAAAATGACATTATAAGGTTTACTTATTGATTATAGTGAGTAAGACAAAGACAATGATAAAGTAGTGTTTGCAAAAACCACCGTTTTCTGAAAAAAGTAAAAATCTTAAGAAATCCAACATTCCAAAATCAATTTGATAAAACTAAAGTTTTTGAATATTCCCGGCTCTTTAATCGGACGCTTAAAATCGCATCTTAAATACTCCCGGTTTTTAATTGGCTCTAAATTATCCGCTGACTAATAGAATTATAGACTGAGTCCCGTGACTAAAATAACTCTAGCCCTTCGGGCTCGCATTACTCCGGCCCTTCGGGCTCGCATATAACTCCGGCCCTTCGGGCTCGCATATAACTCCGGCCCTTCGGGCTCGCATATAACTCCGGCCCTTCGGGCTCGCATATAACTCCGGCCCTTCGGGCTCGCATATAACTCCGGCCCTTCGGGCTCGCATATAACTCCGGCCCTTCGGGCCGGTATTACTGAGTATCCCAGATTCACAGATTTTTGTTGTGGAGGCGCGGGATTGATTGAAATAATGTTGTCAGATCTTTCTAAATTACATTGAAATATCGAAAATTGGAATTCTGTTGTGTAATTTGTGAATTATTATTTTAATTAGAAATCAGGAATAAAAAATTGAGATTGAATTTTCAATTTTTTGGGGGAGGTTTAGTCTCCCCTGCCTCCTCTGACGAGCCGCCACTGGTTATTCGTTAAATACGCCTAAAGCCATATTTTTAATAAGTAATGTGTTTTTATTGTAGTTTGGTCCTTATAGCAAATGGGCGTTAAATTATTTGCACTTTTGAAAATGTAAAACATACAAGCCAGATTCCAGCGTACTCTTAAGAGACTTCAATTTGAACTTTCCTTGCAACCTTCTGGGATAAGTTCATTACAGATTATAGAATCAAAACGTGATTCTTTTGGAAATCCTAAAACATGCATTAAGCTTTCCATGTCTAAACTCATTTCTCATAATATAATACTGGAACGGATTCAAAATAGCTTTTCTTTTTCTGCAAAGGTCACCCTGCGGCAATTTTTCCGTTTTTAATTTATGCCCATCAGTTTATTATTTTCGTTCACGTACAAATCGCTGACTGACACACCTTGGTATTGTATTGTCAACCAGAGGATTCGATGACTTTTCAATCGCTGCCAATTCCTTTTCAGGGCAAACTGAATTTTTATAATTTGTCTTAATAATCGCGACGGGATTTTTTGCACCCCTTTTTTCCTTCATTAGCGTGTAAATGCGATTACATTCAAATTATCGCTGATGGAAATCCATTACACCAGTTTTCCAAACTAAGTTGCGCCCGGCGGTTTTCTAATAGGCTTTAAGGAAATGGGAAACCTTTCAAAACGTGTTTTATAACACCCCAGAGCACGAGGAAAATGATTTCCTAATGAGTTGGAATTGCAAGATTTTTCGGGACGGGCATTTATCGACATTCGGATTTATTTCTTTTTAATAAGCATCGTGTTGTTTGCTTCGAGAGAGGAAATTAAAAGCAGAAGTCTTAATTACTTTTTGATGTCCGTGAAAACAGTGGTTAAATAATAATCAAATGGTCGGTTGGCTGCGTAATTATTGTAGCGTGAAAAATTGCACATGAAATAGTGTTATTAAATTTAGTT